TTTTCTTCATTCTTTGCTCTGGACGAGGAGTGCTGCTCTTTCTTGTGGCCCTCGTCTATACGAGATAGAAATAGGGGGAAACAGGAAATGGCTGAAACCCGATTCCTTTACTGAAATCACTGGAAGGATTCTGAGGGTCCCCGGGCCACCTGACGCCAGTATGTGGTCCCCTGGACACCCTGACGAGCAGCCCATTCTAGCCCCCTCGGCCCCTCACCTGCCTTCCCAGTTAACCCTGAGTGCCTCTGAACATGGGGTACCATGAGTTCACCGGGATCCCGTCCCACGCGTGCGCACTGGATCACGTGAAGGAAGAGCTTATTTCAGGGCCCCCAGGGACACAGAGGGCTCCCGTGATTAATAAAGCCAAGGTGGAAAACATGTCCACCTGCAGCACCCGTTCTGGCAGGAAGCACAGCCCCTGTAAACAGTCAGCTGTCCTGCCAGGGACTCCAGTCTGCTGAGAAAGGCCACGGGAAAAAGGCCTGTCCAGGGGGGCACAGCCCGCCTCAGCCCCCAGTGCTCATCCCCACGCTGACCCGGGACACTCCCCCAGGAACTTCGTGGAGGAGAAGATGGGCAGCAAGTTCGTGGAGGGCCGCAGCGTGGAGTTCTCCAAGTCCTACGAGGAAAGCAGCCCCTCCACACCAATCTTCTTCATCCTCTCCCCAGGGGTGGACCCCTTGAAGGATGTGGAAGCCCTGGGTAAGTATAGCCGGCAGGCAGCACTCTCAAAACTGGGGTGTCAGCATCGCTAGTCATTAAAACCAAAACCAAACCCCCTGCTGTCCAGCCGATTCCAACTCACAGTGCCCCCAGAGGACAGAGTGAGAGTGCCCCAGATGGTTTCCAAGGCTGTGATCTTTACAGAAAGGAGTTGTGGTGGCTCAGTGCCTAAGGCATTTGACTGCTAACCGGAAGGCTGGCAGTTCAAACCCACCCACCACTCCGCAAAAGGAAGACTGGGCAATCTACTTCCTTAAATATCTACCACCTGGGAAATCCAAAGGGGTCCCTATGAGTTGGAACTGACTTGATGGCAGTGAGTTTGGTTTTTGCTTCACAGAAGCAAAGGCCAGACCCCCTGCCGTGGAGTCGATTCCAACTCACAGCGCCCCAGAGGACAGAGTGGAACTGCCCTAAAGAGTTTCCAAGGCTG